TCAAACCTCCGAAGTTTCTCACCCACCAAACTTTCTCACCCGCCTGTCCTTTCGCAAGCCATGCAGGAGGGATCCGCAGGTTCGACTCTCTCGCCCCCACGCACGAGCAAGACAAGACCTCTCCTCGTCCTCCTCTCGCTTGCGACGTCTGTCTGCCTGCTCCCATCATGCTCTTGACGCCCGTCTGCCTGCCTGCTCCCCCTCGTTGCTCCTCTTCTCCTTGAGCTTCTTCTGACCTGCACCTTGATCTTCTCCTCGCGTCTTCCTGGTGCTCGCCCCCTTGTGTTGTCTCATGGTGGGAGAGCGATGCTGCGAGTCTGGTCGAGACCTCCCTCCTCTCGTGTCCTGACGGCGGCTGTCATGCATGGATCAGCCGCTCGCATGCGACATTCCGTCGTTGGCTCAGCTGGGACTGATGGACCATCTGGCAGGTGATCCCTTCCAGAGCCTGAGAGGCGAAGGGTCCGAAGGCTCGATCATCGGTAGGGGAGGGAGGATGGGAGGCAGAAGAGAGGCGTGACGCTTGCTGCAGGGCCTGCGACCCTCATGCTGTGCTGCGTGTGCTGCTGCTTGAGCTTGCTGATCGCGTACATCATCTGGGCGCTCGTGACCATCTTCGTGACCTTCGGGCGAGTGACACGAGCGAGAGAGGAGGGGAGAGAGCGAGCGAGCGGAAGGAGGGAGGGAGGAAGAGGGGGAGGGAGGAGGGGGAAGCAGGAGAGGGAGGAGAGGGAGAAGGGTTGGGTGAGGAGGGAGGGGAGGCTGACTGTAAGGGGTGCAGGTCTACATCGAGCGCGTGCGGGCGAGCTACAACATCTGGGCTTTCTGTCTCACAGCGGTCAGAGGAATAGAGGGAGACGAGAGGGAGAGGAAGAGATGGAAGGAGGGCAGGAGGAGAGACGGAGAGGAGAGGGCACTGGCTCTGACGGTGTGCAGGTGGTGATCATGCCTTTGATCGGGTTCATCATCTCGTTGACGAGGAACAACAGAGAAGGAGCGTCGATCCTGCAGGTAGAGGATGCGGCATGGGCGGCATGGGCAGAGCGAAGGGAGGAAACGGGACGGGGGACGCGAGGGGGAGGGGGAGGAGAGCAGGCTAATGAGGAAGGCAGTTTGCGCTAGCGATGGTGAACCTGGGCATCTCGGTGTGGGGCATGTGGCTTTGGGCGTCGATCAGCAACAACTGCTGGACGTACTTCGAGAGCAGCTTCTGGGATCTGGCGCTGCTGTTCAAGGTAAGGAAACGGAAGGACGAGGCGACGGAGAGGAACAAAACGAGAGCAGGAAAGACGAGAGGAGGAAGAAGGAGAGGAGACGCGGGGGAGGAGGGAAGAGGAGCAGGAGGAAGAGAGGGGGAGGAGGCGGGACATCGCCGAGAGTAACCAGGCGACGGCAGATCAACGTCATCTTGCTTGCGATTACGTTTTTCATGACGCTCTGCGTGATGGTATGAAGAGGAGGGAGGCGCGGGAGGCGCTGCACGGAGGAGGAGGAGGAGGAGGAGGAGGAGGAGGAGGATTTGACAAGAGAGCGACTGGGCAGTGCATGGGGATCATGTTTCTCGGGTCGTCGATCCCAGGGTCGACGGACAGCGGATACCAGCGGATGCCGAACGAAGACGATGACAAGGACGAGGTAGAGGAGGGTGGAGGAAGAGAAGACGACGAGCTGACGGTCAGGCAGGCTTTGCGGTCAGCAGCGTCAGCGGGCAAGACAGACGAGGTGTGGCGGTAGAGGATCAGAAGGGGGAGGGCGAGAACGAGGACGCGAGAGAGGAGCGGAGGGAGGAGACGGTGACGGGCGTGTCGGGGGAGCAGGTACGGCGGCTGATCAAGGAGGGCGCTAGGCTGGAAGCGAGGAACAAGAGGGGCTGGCAGGCGCTGTGAGTAGCCCGGGAGGAGGGGGGAGGAGGGGTTGAGGCGTGGGGCAGGCACTGTGCGGCATCAAGCGGGAGGAAGGAGATCGTGGAGATCCTCGTAGCGGTGAGGGAGGGAGGAGGGGGAGGAGAGGAGGCTGATGGGGACGGGGTGTGCGCAGGCGGGGGCGGACATTGACGCGGAGACTCAAGACGGGGAGACGCCGCTACGGCTGGCGAACGGACATGTGAGACAGGGGAGGGGTGGGGAGGAGAGATATGAGAGAGGGGAGGTGAAAGGGGTACCGGAGAAAGGAATCGTACTGGAAGGGGAGGGACGGGGGGAGGGGGGGGTAAGGGGAAGGGAAGAGGGGGGGGTAAGGGGACGGGAGGAGGGGGGCCCGGGTAAGGGGACCCGAGGCTTCGGTGTGAACTGATGGATGGGTGGACAGCCTGACGTGGAGGACATCCTGCGGTCGCTGGGGGCGAGAGACAGGTGAGAGGAGGAGGGGAGTGGTAGAAGCAGAGAGAATGACGGGTGAGGGGCAGCATGGCGAACGCACAGGCGGCGACTCAAGAGTTCGTGTAAGAGAGGGAGGTTCAGAAGACTGGATGAAGGATGTTTTAACGTCGTCGTCGTGAAAGAGGAGGAGGAGGAGGAGGAGGAGGAGGAGGAGGAGAGCGAGAGAGATAGTACTGCACAGCATCTTTTGTATCCCCTCGTTCTCTTCTTCTCTACTGCTCGTCACGTTTCTGCTAGCCGAATTGTACTATATATAACTTTGTGTTGATTTTATCGATCTGCAAAGAACGTCGAAGGAATCCTTCATGTGAAATCCTCGTTGAATGTCTTTCCTACCCGTCCTACCCTATCCCTTCTTCTTCCTCTCTCCGTCAATTCCCTCCATTCCCTCCTCCCTCCTCCCTGCTTCCTGCTCTTCATCCTGCTACTCTTGCAAGTGGTTCCTTTCAAGCTCGATCGAGGAGCTCCACTCGCTCCAGCCAAGGGGCTCCGACCTGAACCTCACCTGCGCAAGTTTCTCAGCTCAGCCAGCTGGACTTGTCTGCCTACTTGTATCATCTGCGGGAGATCCTCCTCATTGATCTTTCCCTGCGGGGAGAATGAGAAGGCAGGAGGGAGGAGGAGGAAGCAGTGGACAAGGGAGGAAGGAGGAGTTTAACCAGCAGGGAGGAGAAAGGATTCCAAAGGAAAGGAGGAAGAAAATTGAAAGTTGAGGGTAGGTGAGACAGAAAAACACCAGATGCCCCCCGAAGTGATGGCCTGACATCTCTCTTGTTTTCTCGTCGTCATGTAGGTCTTGCGAATATGTTCTCCACTCTCCTGATGCAACACCTTTCAGTCCTCTTCCTCTCCTCCTCCTCCTCCTCCCCTCCTCCTTATCATCAGCATCATCATCATCATCATCATCATCATCATCATCGTCGTCACCCGTCGCAGCGTCAAGTTGCAGGGGAGGCTGTTGCTTCTGTGCATTCCCCTTGTATCTGATCTGAAAATGAAGATGAAGGTGAGAAACTGCCGCAGAGCAGAGGAGGCAGGCAAGCTGGGAGGGAGGGAGGGAGGGAGAGAGGGAGGGAGAGAGGGAGGAAAGAAGAGAACGAGGGAGGTTGGAGGCCAGTAAGGAGATGGAGATGGGCAGGAGCAGCTGAGAAAAACATCTGTCATGTGAAGATGAGGGAATTACTTGACAAGCAAACTTGGTCGAGGGCCAGTTGGGCTTGTCAACACGGAAAGTGACCAGCGCTCTCCACTTCTCTCTGACCTTGATGACCTACAACCTCGTGAGCACAAGGAAGAGGCGAGGAAGGAGAAGGGGAGAGAGTCGTGGAAGAGGAAGGGGGAGAGTTGTGGCACAGGAAGGGGGAGAAGAGAGGAGCAGCAGTAGGCAAGCAAAGAGAATGAAGACGAGGACGAGGAAGAGGAAGAGGAAGACGAGGGCAAGGAAATGGAGGGGCAAACCTCCGCGATCGCAAATTCTGTAGGTATGGAGCTGGGAGAGAAGAATCGCTCTCGAGCCTTACGGTGACTTCAACGTCACACATCGCTCGCAGGCATCAGGTACCAGCAGAGCCTGATTCCTCGCATCGCTCGCCCTCTTCGCCACCTCCCCCTCCTCATCCTCGTCCTGCTCGTTCCCCATCCCGGCCTGTTCGTCTTCCGCTATCCCCTCCTCCTTTCTCAAGGCTTTGAGCTTTGCCTCCTCCTCCGATGCCTTTGAGAGGGAAGAGGTGACCAGCGGAAACGAGAAAGAAGCAGGAGGGGAGGAGGAGGGGCGATGAACGACAGAGAAGAGAGGGGAGGGGAGGGGAGGGGAGGACGGGGCACGTTTCACCTTGTCGTAATGAATGTAGTTGTTCTTGTGCACGAAACTTCTGTCTGATCGATGCAGATAATGGAGTTGAATCTGACGGTAGAAATGCGCATAGTAAAAGAGAAGCTGCAAACAATCATCAACGTTGCCTTCCTCTCTTTAGCCAACATCCTGTCCTCCATATTCCCTTCTCATCCCCTCCCCGTAATCCCTTCCCCCCCACCAACTCTTCATCCTCTAACTCTCCTCTCCTCTCCTCTCCTCTCCTCACTCCATCCACTCTCTTCTTCACCTGATCGTATCTCCCATCATAACCTCCAGCAGTCGCGATGGAGTACTGCCGGAGGAGGTGAAAGATACACTCAGCGGTCGACAGGAAAGCTTCTCCATGCGCGTGATATCTGTGACATGCTCAGCTGCATTCGGCACCCGAGGGGTCAAGACCTCCAGAAAGTTGTTTGTTCAGCTGCAATCTTGACATGTGGCATGCCGCTGCCGTCACGTTCACTCCCCTCTAACGCCAACAAGTCTCTCCCTCACCGGAATCTTTCATCTCGCAGGATCTGGTTGGTGGTCAACCACGTGCTGTCGATGACGAAGACTCTCTTGATCCCCTCCCACCTCATCTCACTCGCCTCCACCGCATCCTTGCTTGGAAACAGCAGCAGCGAGTCCTTGTACGTCCCCCTCCTCCCTCCCTCCTCCTCTCCTCCCTCCCCCGCCCCTTCCTCGTCTGCTTCAGGGAGGGCAGGGTAGGTGAAGATCTCAACGTCGGGGGAGGTGAGGCTGACGTGTGTGGCCGTGCTCTTGCTCTTGTTCTCCCGCGCATGGCGAACTATCGCAACCTGGAACGGCAGCGCGACTGAGGGGACGAGCGACGCGTCGCCCACAGCGCGCGTGCATTCCTCGCAGTAGTACTTCTTGGGAGCCTGACAGGAGGGGCATCCGTGCTTCTGGTTCCGTAGCGCCTGCATGGAAGGAGGAGAACAAGGAGTGGAGCAGGAGGAGGAGGAGGAGGAGGAGGAGGAGGAGGAGGAGGAGGAGGAGAGCCCGTCAGTCTGAGCATGAATGTCCAGCTGACTTTCCCACCTGCCTCTCAAACGCCTCGCTTCTGAGGTCCCACAGGAGAGACTCAACAAGGTGCCTCGTCCCCGCTCCTCTATTCTCGTCTGCCAGGTCGTCCACCCCCACCCCCACCACGAGACGAGCTGCTGCCTTCTTCTTCTTCTGACCGCTGCCGCTGCTGTTGTCCTGTGCCTGGAGGAGAGAGAGTCAGATCCCCTGGGAGAAAGAGGGGTAAGGCTGGGGAGGGGGTGAGCCGGTGGGAGGGGGGAGGCTGGGGAAGTTTGCTCCTGTCATGCTGCTCACCTTCGGGCGTTTCATCTCGGAAGCATAGTGTGAGTTGCCTCCCATCACGGCGGCGATTATGTCAGATCCTCTTCATCCTCTTCCTCTGTCTCTCCTGCCATCATCGTTACCGGAGATGAGCAACAAACACGATGCCTCCCCGCCTTGTACAGATGATTTCATCTCCCCGACTCTCCTCCTTGATCCTGCCTATCCCCTTCCCTCCCTCCTCTCAGCCCCCTTGCTTGCACAACCTCCCTCGTCTCTCCTCCTCTTCTCATTCATGGTCTTCCTCCTCCCTTCCCCCCCCCCCCCTCCCCCGGGTCCTCGTCCTACAATCGTCCACATCCCAGCATGCCCACATTTCCGAGGCCGCAATATCTGTAACCGAATACAACGGTTGCGGTGTAACGGAGAAAACGGTCGCGCCAGCATGGATTCGCCGTGGCAAAGGGCGCATCATGGGAGGCGCCTGCTGTCTTCCATGTCGCCTGTCCTCCTCCTCCTCCTCCTCCTCCTCATCGTAAGAATCTCTCACCTTCATCGCCTCGCTCGTCGTGCCATGCTGCATCGTCACTCGTGCGCGATATCCCTCGAGTACTTGCGATCCTGTCCCCTGTGCTCTTAGGGTTTCATGCCTGACGAAGCTGATGATCTAGGAGGTAGTTCCGGGAGAGAGAAAGTCTGCCATGACATCAAGCGCTAAGATCGCGTCAGAGCGCTCGCCCTTCAGCCGGCTCATCATGCAGTTGAGGGGGGGTCGGCGGTCGGACCACCTTCCACGTTCGTTCAAGGTGCGCGAGCGCGGGATGCTGATGGAACGTTGGGATGACGTTGGACACAGAGAGCGTTGCGGAGGCACACGAAGTCAAGGTTGATGGAGGAGAAGAAGAAGAGGTTTGAGCTGCTTGCCTTGTCTCGCCGAGACGGGTTACCGAGTGCTTGAAGGGGGAAAGGGCTCGACGCTCTGATAGAAAGGCTCAACGCAACCAACAAGCTACCACGTGAGATGACGACTAGTTGCAGTCTCGCTCACTTGAGAACCCTGACTCTCGTGCTTTCTCGATCCCTGCTCGGCAGCACCAGAGACCGAGGAGGTCGAAGCACCAAGGACATGGTAACTGGTGAGAGGGTGGAGGCAGCAGGAGCTGAGTGGAGCATCAGGTGGTGGAAACCCTTGATGGAAGATGATCCTCCCGACCTGAGCGTACTCTTGGACAACGACCCTCCTCCTCCCTCCCAGCGTCCCCTCGGCCCCGACGGGTGACAGACGTTGCTCGCGATGATGCTTGTCTGAGAGAACTGGAAACCAGCAAGCCGGTGTGCGCCAACTACGATCACCTTGCGAAGAAGATGCGAAATGTCGAGCCCGTCCAAGAGGAGGTCCATGCTCTCCTGCTCCCTTCACTCCTCTCCTCCTCTGCACTGTCTTCCTTCCCCTTCCTCCTCTTACTGCTGTCTCGTGTGCTTTACCAGACCACCATATCTCTGCTGATTCTGATATTTTCTTCGTCCCCCTCCAGCTCTGGGCCGCCTGCGGCTGCTACGCGTTTGACGATCCTGTGGATCGGACTTACTCCAGGATTGACATACCAGAGGTATGGTGGTCGTGATCGTCATGAAGGGTCAGGGGAAGCAAGCAGGGAAGAGGATAAGGTGGTTGTGGTTGTGGTGAGAAAGAATGTCAGAGATAAGGAGGAAGAGGAGGTAGAGGAGGAAGAAGCAGGGCAGGGAGGAGAAGGAGGGGAGGGGGGGGAATGATAGTGGCGAGCGTAGAGGGGAATTTCGTAGGAGGGAGAAGGTTGGACAGAAAGTTCGATCTTTTAATCAAAGCGAGAGCAAATGGTGGAGCGATACAAGGTGGCTGGGGCGCCGGATGAATTCTAAATATTTGTCTCTCAATTGCATCCTATGACATGTGCGAACAGATCGTACGATGTCTGAAAGAGGGAGCGGATGTGAATATGGGCCATCCCTTAGATCGCAACAACACGCCGCTGCATTACTTGTGAGTTGGAGGGCGCGAGAGGTCTTGTTGAGAAACCTTGTGGCGAATCTGTCGTGATCGTTATGATCCACAACTTGAAGTAGTCATGGAGCTGTGTTTGTGTTGCGACGCACCTTGTTGTGTCGCACCATGATGGAAAAGAAGTCATGTCAGCACGATTCATGTCTTGGGCTCAAGTTCTGCCTGTGAAGTTGGATCCCAGGTGCCGAAATGGATCTGTCGAGGCGATCGAGACGGTGATAGCGCATGGAGCGAATGTTTCAGCCATCAACAATGGTGACGATGTTTGTTTGAGCTTCGAAGATTCGACCATGAAGGGGTGCAATACAGGTTTGATGCAGTGGACTCCGCTACACGCGGCTGCATACATGGGGATGGTGGAGGTAGGGGGGCCACTATCACTTCTCAACACTCTGTTCATCTCGACAACTTTCTCCTGTTCATCGCTCACCCTCGCTGAGCACTCTCCCTTGTTCAGCAGGGATGTCTGAAGTCACTTGACAGGCCGTGCAAGTGTTGGTCAAGCATGGAGCCAACGTGACCTGCGTCGATGACGACGGTTGGATGCCAATTCACTTGTAAGGATGGAACCGTCTTGAAGATCAGAGGTTGACAGCGAACTTGAACAGTGCGAGCTACGGGGGTCATGCGGACGTTTGCAAAGTTCTTGTTGAGCTGGGGTGTCCAGTGGACATCAGGTGGGGAGATGAAGATTCCTGCAAGGTTGACGGCAAACTGATTAATCTTGCTCGCAGATTCCCCGAGTTTTCTTGGTCCGCACTTCACATAGCGGCCAGGTGTGAAGATGACGATATCAGTGTGACGATCCGAAATGAACATGTTCGCTACAGCCGAGGGTTCCCCGACGTCTGCGTGACGCTCATGGAAGTCGGAGCCGGTGAGAGAACGCTTTCCCTTCATTCCCATGCTGATGTCTCAACGAGCAGACTGGCACGCGAAGGACTTCTTGTTTCATGTTGGCTGCTCGCCTGCTGAAGGGCAATAACGAGATGTGTCACAGGACGCCTTTGACGTGGCGAGCAAGTTCGGAATGCGAGGTCTGCCATTCTTGTGCCCCGCTGCGAGACTTTTGCTAACGACATCGAAAGAATGCTCGGCGATCTTCAAGAGCAAGATGAGGTTGGCGCGATCCGCTTGTTGTCGTGAATCTCCACAGCGGCGCTGACCTTGTCAAACCTGATGCGACCGCAGGGAAGAATCGATCTACGACCTTGAATGCCTCGAGACCACCATCGAGGTAAGAGGTTGAGATTCCACCGGGTCGTTTTGACCCATGACTGCCCCTCGGTTTGTCAAGCGTTGACTCCATTCCTCTCCGCCCGCCCCAACCCCCTCGTTTCCTGTCCCTTGCTATTCTGCCTTTCTGTCTTTCCCCCTTCTTCTCCTCCTTCTCTGCCTTGCTACCTTTCTCCCTCCTCCGCTTCCTTTTTCGCCCCCTCCCCTCCTTCTCCAGGGAAAGAAAGTCCTTCTTGTGGTATCTGGGCAGTTTGCAGGTAAGAACCGCAACTCCTTGGTATGCAGCTGAAGTCTGCTGCTGCAAGGAAACGTCTACTCCCACGTTAGTGACCCGGGGAAAGTGAGCGAGGACGGAACGCGCGCGTGTCCTCTTCGTGTTGACAGGAGGTGCAGGAGGAGAGTCAGTACCTTGGGAGGTTGAGGATAGAAGATCATGTTAGTCTCCCCTCCTCTCCTCGTCCTCCTCTTAGCTACGATGCAGACCATAGATCCTTCTATCCCTGAAGAGCAAGGCTGTCAACAGGTTTCATGCACCCTCCCTCTCATTTTCTCTACCATCCCATCCTCTTGCCCCATTCTTGTTCATCTCCCTGCCTGTACTTCCCTCAATCATCTCGTCTATCGTCTCTCTGCCTCTCCTCTCCTCTCCTCTCCTCTCCTCTCCTCTCCTCTCCTCTCCTCTCCTCTCCTCTCCTCTCCTCTCCTCTCCTCGCCTCTCGTGTTCCGATCATGGCAGGTCTAAGAATTCTCCATCCAGGTCGACGATGACGAGGAAATGCCCGAGCCTCCTGACTGGGCTTATCACACCGATGGGACCCCGTGGGAGTACACGATGAGCCTGATGGAGGAGATTAAGGTGGGAGAAGGAAAAGGAGAGCACGGAGCACGGAGCACGGAGGGAGGAAGGAGACGGGCGGGGGGAGCGAGGAGGGAGACAAGAAGGAACGAGGATAGATAGAGGAGGCAGAAGGGAGGGGAGAGGCAGGAGGCAGGACGATGATAGTTGGAGGAGGTAACGAATTTGTATCAGGTTGAAGGCGAGAAATATCTGTTGGAAGCCGGAACAGCTGCCGTATACCAGTACAGGAAACCTCACAGATTTCTGGGGCTTCTAAGGAAGGACAAGACGATCGATTTTGGTGCTAGAATGCCAGGTGAGTGTGAAAGTGGTGGTGGTGGTGTGGTGGTGGTGGTGATGATGATGGAGATGGAGATGATGATAATGGATATGGAGATGATGATGATTCCGAGAAGATGAACAATGATTTACATGATGATGAGAGGGAAGTGGTGGAAGATGATGAGGATGACGATTGGAGTGAGTTTGAGCATGCAGGATGGGGCGATACTCCATTCAACGTCCAAGAGCCCATGATGCCGGGAAGACCTAGTTTTGTGATAGGTAAACGATTTCACACTGACTGCATTCAATGGGTTGATGAAGAAGTTTGGAGGAGGAGAAGGGGGAAGGGGCAGGAAAGGGGAAGAAATCTGATGATGACGGAGAGGGGAGGAAGAGGGGGGAAGGAAGAGGGTAGTGGAACACCACATGATCGGGATGGGGGTGGGTGGGGTTGAAGGCAAGAGGAGGAGGAGTGCGAAAGAGCTGAGAACGTCTCAGGGAAGCTGAATGGATCCATTGACGCGGCTCGTCAGTACAACAAGAAGCTGCACGAGGGGCCATGGAAGGTGAAGTCCGAGGACGCTGCGTTGCGTCTGAATCATCGCACAACCCAGAAAATGCACGAGTACGGCATCTTCAAGCTCAACGTGGACGGAATCTCGAGTTATCCGCCCGAGTGCGAGGAGGGGCAGCCCTGTCCTTCGCTGGAACCTTCGAGGTCAGACCGCCGACGGGGCTGCGGCTGCTCCTCCGACGTGCTGATGTGATCCCCTCGCAGCAGGAAGAAGAGCTCGAAGAAGAGCTCCACGGACCTCATGGAGCTGGATGAGAGTGACGAGGTAAGGAAGCCCAGAAAGATCAAAGGCCTCGGGCCGAAGACCCCCCCGGCGAAATCCTTTGAAGATCAGGTGATGGCAGTTCTTCCTTTCCTCCCATCCGTGTGTTGCCTGTGATGCTCCTGCGTCATCCTTCTTCTCCTCACTTCGTCCTCCTCTTTTCCTTCTCCTTCTCCTTCTCCTTCCCCTCCCCTTGCCCCTCTCTTTCGACTCGCTAACTAATGGCCCGCAGCTCGCAGACGCCATGTGGGAGATCAGGTCCAAGGAGCTGCAGCGCAGTGTAAGGTGACCGCACAGGATGCTCCGCGTCCGAGCTGAACTGAATGCGAATGTCAGGTATGAGGCAGTCGGTGAAGACGTCGTTGGCATACGACAAGACAAGCACCCTTTGTGGAGGAAGACAGCGTGCAAGTGAGCAGCATCGCGCGATCTCCTTCACGTTCTGATCTCTTGGATCTTTAAAGGTGTCTGCACTGTGAAGATCTGCGGAAAGGAAAGACAGGTAATGACTCCATGGACCGCATGTTGGACCTGATGGAAGGGGAAAGGAATTATTTGTCACTGCCGGCACTGCTTCCTGGAAGGGTATTGGGTCGCCAAGGTGACAAGCTTCATCCTCTCTCTTCTCTCACCCGCACATGCAGTATCCGAAGGTGGTTCTATCAGATTTGGTTTGAACACAAACAGTTTCCATTTTCTTCTTGTTCTTATGTACAGAAAGAAAGATATCTACACCTCTCACAGAATACAACATTATGTTACAGTCACATCAGCGCCTCACAGCTCACATATCATCTGGTGACCCCACATTGCGGGGTGCACAAGAACGCGATATGGCTGAGAAGAGCTTGCGATCTCCCGGCGACATGGCTTTCTTTGGGGGTTCGCACGCAGTCCAGCTGCACTTGTCGCTCTTGGACGCTTGGGGATGGAGCAAGAACGAGGCGAGAGAACCTGAGAGGAGACGTCAAGTCCTGCCCTCCAGCATGCGAAAATGAGGATCTTACCGACGATGTCTTGCTGGTGATGGTTGGGGATGCTGTAAGAACCCACAATCATTCTTGCGAACCTGCTCACTGATTTCTCAAAATCGTCCTCCGACGATCGGAGGAATGCTGGGCGATTCGCTCCATCGTTCAAGCTCATGCTCAAACGAGTGAGGGGGACCTTGTCTGCTCGCACAGACTTGATGTGGATGGCAGGGACGAAGCAAAAGTCTTTCTTTGCCGACCCACACGAAATGCACAGCGACCAAAGGATCGCGCAGACAATCAACTTAACAGCACGCATGGCAGAGGAGGCAGTGAAAGTGAAGAGCGAGGCTCGATGATAAGAAACAAAAGACTTGAAGAAACTTGAAGGGACTTGATCCTGTCATCAGGCATACGTCACTCCCTGCCACAAATTCAAGCTTTCGATTTAAACAACACGAATGCACTTCTAATTTCACATTTTGAAAGTCAGCATGTGCAGAAACAGAAAAAGCATATTCGCATCTAAATCATTTGTATACGAGTCTCGACGAGCCGAACTAGCAGCGCATCTCGACTTCCGACTGACCTAGAGGCTGAACGGATCGATGACTCCGCCATTCCTCATTTATTTGCTTTGCTTCTATCACTGCTCTCATCTCATCTCACCCTCCCACGAGCACGTCTCCTCATTCCTTTCGCAAGCTCTTCATCTTCTCCAGCCATATATTCCCTTCCAACCCCTCCCCTGTCCATGCCGCTGCTTCCCCCTCCTTCCTGCCGTCTTCCCGTCTACCATCTTAATTTCCCACTCCCGCCCTACCCCTACCTGACCGTCTACCCCTACCCCCTGCTAGACTGAGTTGTGTCTACCCGTTGCACTCACCCCACCCCCCCGGGTTCAACAAATTCCAAGTACCCCCTCAGTCCAAGGCAGTGTACCCACCCATGTACAACAATTCATGATACCCTCACCCCCAACTTACACCTTACTTGAACCCGTGTTTTTCAATTTTCACCCACCCCCACTGGATTTTGCAGGACCACCACTCACAGATATCTACCCCACCCTTCTGAATCCAATCAATGACCACCCACCTTCTAGACTCTCGGCTACAAAATCACCCCCTCTGACCCCACCTACAGATTCAAATTTTCTTCACCCCTACCCCCCTCAACTACACACCATGACCCCACCTTCCCTCCAAAACCAATTGCTCCTACACGTCATGGGTGGAACGTATCAGCCCTTAGGACCCCCACCCTCATTTCAACATTAGCTGTTAGGGGACCCCACCGTCAAAAACTGCAGTATGGATCACCCCTACCCTCGAGATGTCACTACTGATAAGAGGACCCACCCCTGAAGATGACCCCTGACATTACCCCTTGCCTTCTTGTACCCTGCCTTTCGACCGCATGTAAAGACAAGGGGTGGAGCCATCGGCCCACCATTGGTGAGTGAGATGCACCCCCCCACCGAGGGCGATGGTCAACAAAGCCTATACAAGCTCTGCTTTTTCTCTAGTGAGATAATAATCAATTCACCCTTACTCTTCACCATACTGCTCATGACTGCTACATGAAATTGACCCCCCTATACTACCCTCTCCACAATCGCACAACCAAAAAATACCACCTACCCGTACCTACTATTGCTCATGGGAGAATATCTGTATACCCCAAGTATGTGGTTATTTTATATATCATCATAATGAGTTTGCCCTTACTCTTTACCTTCTCTTTCAGAGCTTCTTGTGGCGACTCCCAACCCCTACCTCGAGCGACAAATATACTACCCCCACCTCCCTCAACAAATTCCTCATTGCGTTGTCCTGTGAATAAAACCCTACCTTCCCTCACACCACCCCTACCGTACAAAGGCCCCTTCCACGACATTGGACTACCCTATGTGTACATACCCCCACCTACCCACTTTGCCCCCCCAGGTTGTCATGGTGTAGTAAAGCTGGGGCCGGTACTTACGACCCCAATATAGACCTCCCTGGATTGTTGGTCTTATCATCATACATATGTCCTACAGGCAGGTTTCCTAACACACTTGGTCTTAGAAAGATGCTACTTCGTAGCACTGGTGACAATATGGGAGGGGGTAGATAAAATAGTCCGGATGCTTCAGATTACATGGGCTAGTGTATCACATGGGTACCAGGCAAGGAGGGGTAGTCCTCTAACTACCCCTATGGTGGGGTTCTCGAATGGCAGAGATTACAATCTTGAGATGGTAGGCGTAGCTCTTCCTAGGACCAATCTCACAGTATCTTGTTACGGCGAATAGGCTGACTTGGTATTATCACTCAGCTAGCAAGGTCCTAGGATGTAAGCGAGATTCAGCCAGATGAGGTCAGCAGCTCAGAAAGTTAGGGGATGGCCCGACACACAGACACTTCCAAAGAGCAAGTCCGCCTCGCCCCGACTTGAACATGTGAAACATGCATGCACTGCGTGCGCCGGCGGCGAGCCGGTATGGACATCTCCGCAGGTCACTTTCAAGAGTTTCAGTTGAATACATCAGTTGAGAGTGGATCGGATGTCAGCGACTTCTAGACCTCAGAAAGCAGTTCATGATATCGGGCGCATTACTCAACTGTCAACAACGAGGAGGGGCCCAGTGAAGTCACTTTACAAAATCACTTTTGACAAGCAGATTGTTCTTGATATCTCGCCTGATCTTTTCAGACAATGGAAACTTCGGGAGAAAGATGGAACAAATCAAGCAAGCTAGCAGGTGACTATCGCGATGGGAAGGCAATTTTGAAAATGAAAGTTTTACACCACAGCTTAGCGAAATACTGCCACTGCAGTGTATTGCAGTGTTGCCGTCAAATTGAGGTAATTCGCGTCCAGTCAAGCTACTCTGCACGAAAGAATAGGCATTTGCAAATTTAATTCAAAGTGTTGCAAACTATCCGGAAGAAAAGCTCTCGGAAGGACTTGAACCTCCCCGTGGGCCTCAGACCCTTCAGAGCAAAAGATTCACACCTCATCAGAACCGGGTAGCCTCCCTCCTGCAAATGCACGTTGGCAAATGTAGGAACGTTCATCTATGAAGGTCGAGTGCGAACACTCGAGTCTCCTGCATCCCGCTCAGGAGGAACCCGCGCAATTCGTCTTCTGAGGTGTGAGAGTCGTCTTGATTGGTTCATCAAAACGAGAGAATGTACTTTAGAAATGATCCTGTAAAGTACTGCACGCATACAGTCAGCATCAAGGTGGATGATGAGTACAAGAGAGGAGCAAGCAAGGAACAGCTTCACAGTTTTTGTCTTCACATCACAAAGGAAACATGTGCTTGTCCTCACCAGTCGTTACCCTCCCTGTGCTACGCTCTCCTTTTTATAGCCACTTCCCGCTCCCACCCTACCACCCAGGTCCAATCGATACTCTTCACCCCTACCCCTATCTTTGTCCAGAATTGTTTCTGTAACCCTTTCATTCGATAACAAAGTTTACCGGTATTAAAGACCTGCTCATCACCCCACCCTCATCTGTAATCACCCCCACCTGGTTTTCTGTAGTGATGCACGTGCAGTTTACCCCCACCCCTCATCTCATATGCTTCCACCCACTGTCGGTGCTAAAAAAAACTGCACGTGTGAATATCGGTTACAGTCCGTTTCCATTAGTCGTTACGACCGTTTTCTTGATTGGCTCCGTCAATATTCCGTTGGCACCCAGTAGTCAATTTTGTTGCACAACTCAGGGTCTATAGTCAATGTCGGTCCTCTAAAAGGGGGGGTACTTTGAGATACTTGAAGGGTGGGGTGATATTGACGGAGTCGGTAAGGGTAGGGTTGCATTGCTGTTTACTACCCTCCCAGAGACCATTATTTTGAGAGGAAAGGTAGGGGTAGGTACTGCTGTCCGGCTTTCCACAGTACCAGAGTGGCCGAGGGTCGTCCAACAACATTAGGCTGCTTCCCATGCACAGGCAGAGGACGGTAAGATTATGCCAATGAAGTCGGGGAGGAGGAGGAAGAGGAGGACGAGGACGAGGAAGATGATAATCTGTGATATCTGAAAATGGATAGTCGTCTCTTGGTCGAGATAGGTGCGATATGTCGATGGAAGACGTGATGATAAAATGAAGCTCTTGCGATGAGGGCAGCGCAGGGACGGATGATTACTTGTTGGATGATGTTTTCCCTTTGTGTCTATCGAAAATTATGTTGATGATTGTGTTTAAAACTGCGAACGAAGAGAACTTGCTCAATCAAGATCGTGTGTATGGTGTGTCATACATCAAGTTGGCAGCTAGTGAAGTCTACTATTTGTGTACTTCGATGCTGTGCTGCGGATAGACAGATTGAAATGGGCTCTGAGGAGCACATAAATCTCATGAACAAGATGGAACATGCGATCATGGATGTTGATATATTTCATGTACAGGCCTCAATCAAAACCGGGATGCTCCGCCTAATAGTCAGCCATGGGGTCGCAGCCTTGATGTTGCTTCAGGTGTGCATGAAGTCGTTGCTATGTGTTGTAGAAGAGCGCCTGTAAGATGCTGTCAGATGGCCTCCAGTGAAGCGTTTGTGCTGCGCACCACGGCGCTGAATTCCATTGCAACGCCGCGTTCAGGTCCTGTTGCTCCGAGTGAACCCCACACCTTGCTGAACCATGTTCAGTTTGCACAAGAAACCTGAAAGTCTGCAACTTGAAGTCGTCGCTATCACTACATAACAACGGTAGCCATGACTGACATGCTTGTTCTCTGCATGGTAACATGTCATTCTTGAAGATCCAATGACAAGGGCGCCATCCTTCCGCGTTCCCTCCAGGTGTGAAAATCCTCAGAGTCCCCAAGAAGTCCCTGACAGCAACATGCAGGCTAGAGAAGGAAGAAGCCATGGAGAGGATCATGGATGGAGTGGTGAGGAAGGTGGACCAGAGGACCAGCACTGGCTTCTACTCGTCCAAGAGTGGATCCCCTCTCATGAAGGCCGTGGACGCGGCGAAAGTTGCCGTTCACCTCCTGACCAGCTGGGTCGGTTTCGGTGCCTGGCTGATCCAGACGACCCTCCAAGGGTCTGGCGCGCTCATGTCCGCAGCTCTGGACTTCCAGGCATTGCTGCTGGCGTACATCAGCGGGTACCCGATGGACGAAGCCTTCAGGAGGAAAGTGGTGCTTGCAAGGAGGAGGAAGGAAGATGACTCGATGGTTCTGCCCCTGCGGAGCACGCAGCGTCCTGTTGGTGACAGTCCAAAGGTGATGAGGCCAGCGACTGAGCTCAAGATTGCACGCGAGGTCAAGGTGGTGGAAACGGCTGCAGTACCTGCCATTGCACCATCGCCTGTACCAGCAGTGAAGGAGGTGGAAGTTGCGAAAGAGGGCGAGACCTTGAACCTCGTCAAGGATATTGGCTTCCTTGCCGGCTACCACATCAAGAGGATCTCCTCCCGTGTGATCAGCTCCTTCAGGCAACAGAATCCCTTTGGCCTCCAGGTGATAGCATCGCTCTTTCTTCATTGCTCCCGTCGTGCCTTGGAGATGTTTTCTTGCTGAGATTGCACTGCAGAACTCATCGCAGAACTCCAACGTTCAACCTCAAGGCAACCCGGTGAGGACAGGCTGGCCTTAACATCTTGACTGACGGTATGGACTGTAGCAACTCGTGTACAGTGCGATTGGGGTGGCGCTTTTGGCCGGTGCTGCTATGGCGGAGATGGCATCAAACAATTGATTGAGAAGGGAAAGTAACTCTGTGCAAGACCATCATTATTTGTCATGCAGTTTTCCCTTGCAGAATCAGAGCGGAACCGACCAAAAAGAAAATGAAAGCAAACGCAGGCATGGAATGACCGATGGGGAAAGATACAAACAATACTTGGCATCGACCTTTTTCCTTTTTTGAACGGCAGGGTGAAGGACACGAGGGGCAGCTGTGGTTTCATGGGCGAACCAGCAGCAGACGAAGCCTGGCGACAGCATGCAAGCTTAGTCGCATAATCAGGATAGGATACGGACAAGAAGGAGAAATAGAGCATGAGGAAGATGAAGAGAACAGACGGAGGAAAGAGGAGGAATGAGGGGCAGCTGTGGTTTCATGGGCGAACCAGCAGCAGACGAAGCCTGGCGACAGTGCACAAGCTCTTGATGCAGAAAACAACAGAACGAGCAAAAAAATGTCGCAGAATCAGGATGGGGCACGGAGAAGGCGGAAGAAGAGGGACTGAGAAGGTTATGAAGCCAAAGGAAGACGGGGGAGGACACGAGGGGCAGCTGTGGTTTCATGGGCGAACCAGCAGCAGACGAAGCCTGGCGACGGCATGCAAGCTTAGTCGCATAATCAGGATAGGATACGGACAAGAAGGAGAAATAGAGCATGAGGAAGATGAAGAGAACAGACGGAGGAAAGAGGAGGAATGAGGGGCAGCTGTGGTTTCATGGCGAACCAGCAGCAGACGAAGCCTGGCGACGGCATGCAAGCTTAGTCGCATAATCAGGATAGGAAGCCGGAAAAGCAAAGAGGAGGTTTGACCGTAAAAGAGACTAGGAGGAGGAGGAGGCGGAGGAGGAGGAGGAAGAGAGTATTCTACTGTGCTGTTTTGTATCGACTGGATGATTTTCATGCTTCGCGTTTCTTTTTGGTTCTTTTTTGTACTTTTACAGTAAACACTTTGCCTTAGACCGGGCCTACACCAAAGTGCCAAAAGATGTCGGGGGAAATGAGAGGAGGAGCAGGAGGAGAGGGGGGAGAAGGAGAAGCAGGACAGATCAAGAGGATGTACAGAAGGAGGTGGAAGCGATACCTGTTGATAGGGCAGGACATGAGAGTAGTCCAGGGTTTTATTCTTCAAAGGTTGGACAAACATACTTTCTTGTTGATGTGGATGTTGAATTTTGTTTTTAATGCTGCTGCTGCTGCTGCTGCAAATCCTGTGCTGCAAAGACAAAATCCAAGGAGACCAGACGTTGAAAGAAGAGATGTTGAGATGAGAGATGGAACATCTACATCCCTGTCTTAATGTCTCTCTTCTTCCCTCCGCTTTCCCCAATGCTCTCTCCTCCCCCCTCCCCCCTCCCCCTCCCTCCCTCGCATATCTTCCTGCTATTTCTCATTCCTTCCTCTGCTCTTCTTCTCTCATCTCTTGCCTTCACGTTCGCGCATGACACTCTCCTCATCTACAGCGCCTCCCCCCCCCCCCCAACTCTGACCAGGAGGAAGCACTAATGGCCTCGGTCTCCTCGTCAGGAGAAAGTTTCTGGAAGGTGGAGGAGGTGAGGAGCCGTCGCTGAGCTGTGGGAGCGAGTGACAGTGACATCCCGCAGCTCGTCTCCTCCTTGACTCGAATCTTCACTCCATCCAACGAACCAGACGCTTCGACCAAGACCAGGGAGTCCGAAGCACAGCAATCAGAACCTCCTGCCCTTCCTTCAGGGAGCCCCCCGGAGGACGAAGAGCAGGGGGGGGAGGAGGAGAGTCCAGTAATCTACTTCGCGTGCTACACGCTGCAGGGGCACAAGCGAGTGATTCCCATCTGTGAGGATCAGACCTACCAGGACTTCCTTGACTTCGTCGAAAACGAGTTCGGCTCCAAGTTCTGGCCCAGCCTGGTGGAGCAGGCGTCCGGCTTCCGCAAGTACGTCCTGCATGACAATGACTTCGCATGGCTGTGCGAGTACGCGCAGCTCAACGGAGGATACGCGGACATTCAGCTAGAGGTAACGCCGGTGATGTGGCCGGACGAGTACGAGGAGTACTCGAAGCTCTTCAAGTTGGAGGGTGGGATGGAAGGGAAGGGAGGGAAGAGAAGACTGCACTGAATTAAACTTGAAGGAAGAAACGAGGAAAGGCAGACGGCAGAAGATAAACAGAAGCAGAGCAGAGGGGGCAAGAGGACAGAGGGGCACTTGGACATTCGCCGATGCTAATCGCTCTCTTCGCTCTCTTCGCTCAATTGATACTCGCTGTCGTCTCCTAGGCTGTCGCTGTGAACCTCGACATTTGCTGTTTCGTCAACCCATCCCTCCTCCTCCTCCTCCTCCTCCTCCTCCTCCTCCTCCTCCTCCTCCTCCTCCTCATCGTCCTCGTCCTCGTCCTCATCCGACCATTCCAGCTCAACCCCCTCTGAGTCCCCATCGTCCGCATCGTCCCCCTCCTCTCCCTCCTCTCTTGCTGCAATGGCCCAGTCCCTCGCGTCGTAGCTGATCGCTCTCATCCACTCCCTCTGCTGCTTCGCCACGTCCTCTGGAGGCCATCTCTCCGCGTACCCTGTCGACCTTGTCAGCCCCCGCCAGCGCTCGCGCCTCCTCCTACATAGAGGGCAGCATTTCCAGTGATCCAGGGAGTTTGGCTGCGTTTTAGCTTCCGTCACGTCTTGTGCCTTGAGCAAGAATGTCATTCTCAACGGAATCTGCGCGATTTCGTCGTAGAAGCCTGCTGCAGGTTCAGCATAGCCGCCGGCGCGTGTCGCTGGCACCTTGCGGTTTGATGAAAGACCCTCTCACGAACAAGTTCTGCCATAGCACGGAGCCTGAGGGAGAAACTTAGATGGAGCAAGACAAGACAAGACTTGTCGAGGCTCCCAGGGGCACTCGGGGAGGAGGGGGGGGATGGCTGAAGAAGGGAGCGGGTGGAGGAAGATAAAGATCCAACTGGAAGACAAGAGCAACTCACTGGTCAAGTCGAACTTGAAGGGATAAGTTCCCACGTTCATCTTGACGATGTCGAGAGAGTCCACGCCAACCTGCCGCTCAAGTAAGGACGTGAGGAGGGGGGGAGACAGCAGGAGGGGACAAGAGGAGGAGAGAGGAGAGAGGAGGAAGTGAGAGGAGGTGGGAACAAGAGAGGACAGGAGGTGGCGGAGAGAGCGAAACCGTCGGATGAAGCAGCAAGCTGAACTCTTTTTCTTGGATGTCACGAAAATTTGGAACGACTTCGAGGACAGACATGAAGCGATGGAGCTGATGAGAACGATGAGCGACGAACACCCGAGGGTAGAGGAAGAAGGCGACGGAAGATGGGGAAAAGGGCAAGAGGTAGTGAGAAGAGAGAACAACAAAGTGCGGGAGAGTGAGCGGGAGAAAATAAGGAGGACGAGGACAGAGCGAGCAGGAGCAAGAAACTACTTTTCCATTCTTCGTGAAGAAGAGCACAGGGAAGGTATTGTCCAATCTCAAACCACATCCTATCTGCAACATCCCACCATCAGTCCCCCTGCAAATGAGCACAGGGAGCAAGCAAACTGTCTTACCGTGTCTCCAGGACCGAAGCAACAATCTTCAAACGTGGAAAGATTGTTGTGAAAGAACCTGCTCCTGACGTCACAAAGCTGTTTACATCCCCTCTCCCCTCTCCTCCTATTCTCTCTTTCACCTCCCGTCATCCGAGTGGATAGCTGCTGACATGCCATCCCATCCCGGCTGCTTTCTCCGCATTTGCTAAGGAGGAGGCAGCGAGGGAGGTCGAGAGTCAGCCAGCCCGACGAAGCAGCAGGAACTCTCACCTTGGTCCATGAGGACACGCTCAGCCCACAGGCAACGCACCAGGGAGACGTCTGGTGTCGATCCTTTCCTTCCCTGCATCCTACCCCGTCACCTCCTCCCCTCTCCCTCTATCCTTCCCGCTCACCTGGCAACGACGGTGATCTCGAAGTACCTCACGGGCAGCAAGTCGAGGATCATCTCCCTCGGCGTCAAGTCCGAGTCCTGCGGCTTGCTGGTGGAGCTCATGACCTGCCTCTCAGCCGCCCGCGTCCTCCCTCCCGCCGATCGCTCTGCCCTCTGGTGCACCCAGGAGGAATCTTTCCAAGGCTCCGACAACTCCACTTCGTCGGCGAAGCTGACTACCTGAGGAGAGGTGAGACGGGGAGGCACAGGAGAGTGAGAGATGCCGACCGGTTGTAGAAGCCTTCGTCGAAGAGGAGGAGGAGGAGGAGGAGGAGGAGGAGGAGGAGGAGGAGGAGGAGGAGGAGGAGGGAGAAGCAACAGGTGAGCAACCGCAGACCTCGAGACAAACATGCACAAACCTTGGATCCTTCCAAGCTGATCGATACCACTCGGTCAACACTTCCGCAAACTCTTGTCTGCTGGTGTGATAAACAACGGTGTATCGGAGAGCAAGCTTAGTAGAACCTTTCTTTCAGCAACCTTCGCTTCTTCTTCTCTGCATCGTTGGGCTCTATCGCATCCGAACCATCGAACTGCAAGGGAAGCAGTCAGCCCTCCTGGCCCTGTCAAGGCTCTCAATCACCAGAAACTCATTGTATTCTAGGTACTGCTGGATCTGCTCAGGAACTCTGGCAGGAAAGAAAATCGTCAGAGGGTTGTGCGTCGAAATTTTCCTTTCTCTCACTCCGGATGCTTCCTGTAGGTCACGTGCCACGGCATCCCCGACCTCAGGGATCGGTCTCCTCCGATCGCACCGCAGTAGCGGATCATGAACTGGTGGATTGAAGGCGTTCAGAACGAGTTCATGGGGACTTCAGCCAGTGCCACCTCCTTGGTATACGGCTCTCGGCACACCCTGACGCGATTGCTGTAGTTCCTGTGTTGAGTTGAGTGACAAACAATGCTCCGGTCCTGAGCTCACATGAAGTAGTCTCCCCTGGTCGAGACTCCACTAGGTTGCGTGAAGACATTGGAGACCATCTCGACTTGCTGCCATGGTCGTCAGCGGCGCCCCACGGAACTCACATGTAGAGCAAATGGAATGAGATTGTGACATCAGGATGGTGATGATAAGAGAGAGAGTTGGAACATGAGGCGACAGAAGGGAGCGAAGTGGTTTTGACGAGACAGGAAGCAAAAGCTGCGAAAAAAGATCAGGAATGCATGTCATTACATGCAACAGCCGTGCTACGTCGCGCCATCCCCCAAGACTTTCTCGCAGCTGCCAAAATCTTCATAAAACTCGGAGGATGTGTACAAGGGAATCACCGTGATACGAGAACCAAAGCGAAAGACATGGTTCAAGGTTGGTAGGTGAATGCATAGAATCTACAGCAAGTCAGCTCCAGGCAAACTTGTGGTGATCACACAGCGGCTAAACGAGTGATCGGCATGCACGGAAGACAGAACAAACAAGAAGTATGATCGCTGTCAAAGTCTATACAAGCAACCCTCACCTTCCAAATGGCATCCTGCATGAACATGGCATTGAATACTTTGCATGTTCCCGCCAGGAGCGGAACGACGGCCAAGGAGGAGGAGAGCTCAAATCCTTTCAAAAGCTTCTTGTGAAAGGGGAAGGTGAGATGGTGCAATATGACGATCAGACTCTCTTCAGGAAGGTCTGGCAGCAGGATGGTGGGCAGCTCAGGGACCGTGTGCTTTGTCGAGCTGGTGCTCCTTGTGGAGCGCTTTGCGCCACCCCTCCCCATGGTGTCTGTTGCGACGGAAGGATCTCAACAAGTTTCAAGGGCTTCACGGTGAGGATCAAGATGGAGGGGGGATGGAGAGCTGCGGTCACAGCGAGTCAGGGGAACTGCGCGACTGAGAAAACAAGTCGAGGGAAACGCCATTCAATTGAGGTGCTTGACGTTTGACATGTGCAAGGTTGCAACAGCATGCAGGTTGAACATGGTTGTGACGCAGGAAGTGGAGCAGGAGCAGAAGCAATATTATGACGAGGTGGAGGTGGTGGTGAAGGTGGAGCAGGAGCAGGAGCAGGAGCAGGAGGATGAGGAGACCGATGAGGAGCAGCTAGATGAGGTGGTAGATGATGAGGAGGTGGAGGAGATAGTGGAGGAGGAGATAGAGGAGGAGATAGAGGAGGAGGCGGAGGAGGAGATAGAGGAGGAGGAGATAGATGAGGTGGTGGTGGAATAGAGGAGGACTTAGAGGAGGAGATAGAGAAGGCGGAGGAGGAGGAGGAGATAGAGGAGGAGGTAGAGGAGGAGGAGATAGAGGAGGAGGAGGAGGAGGAGGAGGAGGAGGAGGAGGAGGATGCGCAGGGAAAGTGGGGAGAGCTGCTGCCTAACACTCATTGAGCCGCAATCAACATCATGATCAACATCAACATGTCACCCTGAGTGAATTTTGAGTAGCTATCCCGGCGTATACCGTACCGTCCGGTCGGGCCAGGCAGCGCCGCGGCCGGGCGGCGGCCCGCGGCCGCCGGGCGGGCGGCCGGGCCCGGCCCGGAGAGTCCCGGCCGCCGACCGTCGGACTCGCCGGATTCCGAAGTTCACTGACCATCGGAGCTCCGGGAGTCAAATCGTCGGACTCGGTGATTCGGACTCCGAGTGACTGTGACTCAGGACTTCGCTTCAAGCCTCCAAGGCTCCGCAAGTGACGGCACCGTGACTCCGGGGGCGGCCGGGCACGCGGCACTGCACTCGGGGCACGCGGCCGCGGCAACCGTTGAACCGTGAACCGTCACGGGCCCGGGGTGAACAGCCGGCGGCGTGCCACTGCATGATGCTGCGGCTTAGTGAAGATCCGCTGAGCCTACTACGTCGAGGAGGCTTGACCGCCCGGTACTAGTACTACTGAGTGACGGCGCCGCCGCGCCGGCCCGGGATGAAGGCCGCTAGTACCCCCGGGTCGCTGGCACCCGGTGATCCCCTCAGGGGCCTGCCCGGGCCGCGCCGGGCCTATCACCGGATTAAATAAATTGATTTAGCTGGCAGAGTTTCTTCTCCGACAACTGCCCGGGATGGCGGGAGACGAGCGGGGGGAGGGACTGGAGGAGCGATGCACGGAGAGAGGCATGTTCTACCGCGTCTCCCGCTCCAACACTCCCGTGATGGACTTCGACTCGAGGCTGTCCTTGTCCAAACTGCGATCTCACTTCCAATCCCCTAGCGCTACTCCCCGCACCATGGTGACGACGAGCAGGTCGGTAGACAATACAGACGTTTCCAACGGAGATACCTTGAGGAGGAAGACTCTTGTACCGAAGCTCGACACGACGAGGTTCGATTGGATCAACAGCCGTGAGAACCATGAGCATTGAGATGCTCTGCTGTCGTTGACTTCATTCAAGAGCTGGAGGGTCTGAGATACAAACACCTACGGCATCTCCCCGTGACGACTCGCCGATGGATGGTATGGCGGATGGAATCAGCATACTTTCTATGACTCTACCCGTGTCAGGAATGGAAAAATACAAACGATCGGCCGCAGACGGCAAGATCCTCAAGTAGACAAGAGGAGCTACGGTTGTGGTCTGACCTGAATCGCAGGGCAGTCCCAACCAACAACAAGTCGAGCAGAGGCAGTAAAAGTCTAGCGATGCGACGAGATGACGCTTGTTTCAGATGAAGACAGCTCGATCTGATGGGTCTTCCTTGTTGCATTACGAGCAGAGGAAGATAAAGCTGAGCAACAACATCGTTGAGAAGGTAAATTGGGGAGAGCAAAGAAGTCTCTTTACGCGTACGCCTCGATCAGTTTCAGATGGAGATCGAGGAGTTGGAGAGGAAGATGAATGCTCTCATGGACGAGTCTGACGCCTGTTCCATGCCAATCATCGTGTTGACGACTTGATAGGAGGAACGTGTTGGAAGAGAAATGCATTTCCCTGCAGGGTGTGCTCAAGGTCAAGGACGACGAAGTGATTGTATGCCTTGCAGGAACTGAGTTGCTGTCTGCTTGTGATGTCGATCACTAGGAATTAACAAGACTCAACAAGAAGATCTTGTTCATGCTCGGTAGACGTGAAGGGAGAGGGGCAAGCTGTTGTCTTGATCGCGTTGTAAAAGGGATGAGAGAAGGAGAAATTGCGGACCTGTACACTCGCATCGAGAAGAATGAAGTGATGCTGTTCCGACAGAGATTGTGATCTTCATCATAACGTCATCGCAGGACGATCTTCTCTTCTTCGAGCCTGCTCCAGGGTCAGCAGCTCGTTCAAGTTCACCATATTTCAACGACATCGATTACAGGTACGAGGCCCTCAACTGCGTCGATGGCATGACAGGAACATGTTAGTGCAAAGAAGATGAACAAGGACTTGGTCGATCTCGAAAGAGATCTCCAAGTCAAGATCAGATACAGTGACAGGATGCAAACGCTCGTCTCAAACGCTGCTGACCTGGCGAGGCAGCGGGTAGAGTTTGAGGCGGCGAATCGTCCGGTGAGCTGCTAGGGGCAAAGGACTTCACTGACACGCGATCCATCCAGACCTTTGCAGAGGCGCAGAGTCAGACAGTCTGCGACGCCAAGGACGTTGAGGTGTTTGACGTCTGATCGAGTCTCGTTGGACTGAACGTGTGTGATGAAGATGCTGTTTGCCGTGGAGGAAGTGACGAGTCAATCCGAAGATCCGGAAGATGTCAGCACTTGTTTGTTTCTAGTCCTGCCAGCTGATTGAAAGCTTCTCAGATGATGAACTTGATTCGAAAAGAACATCAGTCTAGACGCTTTCACGCTGGCGTTCCGCGAGCCTTCAGGGTATGATGGAAGAGCTCGTTCCGGTGATTGAGATTGCATGTCAGAATGTGGTCATGGATTCAAGATCGTGGTTTGCTCAAAGGGTGAGTAGCTGCTGTCTTTTCTGATGTGAAAGTTCCAGTTCTAGGAAGATGTAATCTTATCCACACAGGATGCTCGGGAGGCAACGATAAAGATGAAGAAGGAACAACTCGACGCACAGATCATGGTCTACTACTTCACCAAGGTCCCTGACGGCTCTGCAACATGTCGTGACATTCACAAAAACTCAACCAGAGAGATTGCGACGTCAACGACGAGCTCTTGGGCAAAGACAAGTCGTCTTTAACGGGTTGTGCTGCGCCGGCAACTTGGCAGTGGGGCTGAGTGACTATGATCGTTGCAGACTTTCTGCTTGAATATCACTTGTACAGGAGCGACAGCAAGGCAGATTGTGATTTAGAGCTGATGGATCTGATCAATCTGCTGAGACATGTTGGACCTGTCACCCTCCCACGACGTGCTTACTCTGATGCAGTTCACCCGCCCGGACGAGCACGCCCGAGTCTCTCATGCTCGCATCTTCGCGCGGTTGAGTGGGATGAGGTAGGAGGAGGAGGAGGAGGAGGAGGAGGAGGAGGAGGAGGAGGAGGTGATAGTCCGCAGCTTGTCGGGGAAGGAGGGGACTGCTCTGCCGCAAGAGACTCTTGAGTTCGTTCTGGATGTTGTGTACTTCCTGCACGAGTTCTATGGGGAGCAGGTGGCGGGTCTGATGTGGAGGTGTGAGCGGTGATGGTGGCGAGTAGATGAGACGGGCTGCCATGTCTGCAAGGCAGAGGGCAGAGACGAAGGCGCTGAAGGATGTAGAGATCTTTGCCAACAGGACGAGGAAGGTCTCTCCCGCTAGCAATCTCTTCGTGGCAGCGTACAAGGAGAAGGAGAAGATCATGTTCAAGAAATCCTTGGTGAAGTCATCGAGCCCGGTGCTTCTCCTCGCCCTCAAGGCCGGCAGGTGTGCCGGGTGGTCAAGGAGGCCCTGCTGCTGAGGGCGAACATCGTCTGGAGCCAAGGGGACAACCTCTCGTTCCATGAGGCGAACAGGTCCCGGCTAGAAAGTCTCGACGTTACTCACGGTCGAGCTGCAGGCTGATGAACTTGGAGCAGGCGCTTGATTTCTCCATCTCTCATTACGAAGCTGTGCAAACCTTTGCCAGACCGCAAGGCTAGACTCACTTGTTGTGCAGGTGAGGACGATGAGAAGAAGGGCTCTGATGGATAAGTACAAGAACTACATGTACATCTGCTCTTCACTTGCACAAGAACCATGATGAGCTCGTGGTTCAGCGATGGAGAGGGGGTGATAACATGCAAACAATTCCATTCAATCATGCAGGAGATCGACAACGAGGTCCCCGAGGCTCAAGTACCGACAGCTGCTTGCGTTGCAGCTCCTTGCTCAACTTCCTGCCGCAGATTGATCGAATGTTCCGCAAGATAGCAGTGGAGTCAGGGCCGACCAACTTGATAGATGCTGAGGTGTCGCCCCTTTCTTGACCTCAACCGCCAGTCATTCTTCTCCTGTCATGGTAGGTCTTCTGTGATGTGCTGCAAGAGAACAAGTTCGACCGACCGGCAGAGATCGGAGTCAAGGTTCTCCTGCTGCTGCTCCTCGTTCTCTTCTTCCTCTCCTCTCCTCTCCTCTCCTCTCCTCTCCTCTCTCCTCTCCTCTCCTCTCCTCTCCTCTCCTCTCCTCTCCTCTCCTCTCCTCTCCTCTCCTCTCCTCTCCTCTCTTCTCTCCTCTCCTCTCCTCTCCTCTCCTTGACTGCTCCTGTTGTCAGGTGGTCAACCCGTATGTGTATACCCGGAAGCAGCCCGTGGAAGTTGTTGAAACTGAGAAAGTGACTGCGAAGAAGAAGGGGAAGGGAAAGACCAAGGTGAGATGTTGATCTTGTACGCACATGACATGATCTCGTCGTAGGTTAAGGAGAAAACGGCGGAGGAGCAAGATGAAGTTCATGCAGGGGTGAGGAAGGAGATGCGAGTTTCATGCTGTTGATGTGTGAGTCTGATGACTCAGGAAGAGACCGTGACGTGAAGAGCTGCCATGTTGTTTGCACCAAGACAAGATGGGGAATAACAGTTGTGTTGTAAGTTGCATGAAACATTCACTTGTCAACCAATCATGTCAACAAACAACATTTTCCTTCGATCAAAGTTTGCCGTCCTTTGTCACGATCTTCTCATAAATGTGCGGGAAAGCATCGTCGGCATTGTACCTGCGAGGAAACATCTCAGTTGTCTGCCTCCCTCCTCCATCCACGTTAAAATAAACTGATCCTCCTCCTCCTACCTCCTCCTCCTCTTCCCCATCCCCCCCCATGTTCTTCCTCCTCTTCCTCCCACCTCCTGCATTAGAAGGCTGACATAATGAACTGGAAGGCCTATGGCTCATTGCGAGTGTGGGACACGGACGTTCACATCTGTCAGTATGTGAAACCCGCTCTCCGGGGTATCGGGGGAGTGATCAAGAGCAGGTGGGGAGATTTCAGAGTAACAGAAAGGCGGTTGGAGGATAACTCTTGCGCTGAAATTACGGACCTGTCATGCCAAGTGAAAGGAGAGCGAGGGAAGTTCCTGAAGTTTGTGCTGTACAAAGCGGGAAGGGATACCTTCGAGATGGTCAGGA